TACATTATACTGAAATTCCATAAAAATTATACATTATAAAACTTTATATTTTTATGGAATTTTTATATCAAATTTTTTATTGGGTAATAGTTCAAAAAAAATTGAAAAATTAATTTTATATAATATTAATTATATAATTATAATTAATTATATAATTGTAATTAATTAACAAATTTATTATTTTGTATATAATCTAAAATTTGTTAATTAAATTATTATCCTATAATTATTTATCATTCTATAATAATTACTATTTTGTAATTATTTTAATTATTTATAATTCTATAATTAATTATGTAATTAACATTAAATTTAAACCAAAATATGCAAATCTAGTTTCTTATGTATTAAAAATTTGCCTAAAAATATACAAACTGATAATCTAACTATAATTAAAAAATTTTAAAAAATATGTAAATCAATAGCTTATTCTATCTAATACCTCTATAATAGTTATATATCATTTAACTTTATATATATTTCTAGATTCTGAGATATAAGTTTATAATAATAAAATTTTATATAATAAATATTATTTGCTTTTTGCTCTTACAAATTTTATTCAAATTATAAATATTATTTAAATCAAAAATTTTATTTTTATTAAAAATATATTATAAATGCATAAATTGTAAAAAATTATTATAATTTTATCTATTCAAAATCTTAAAAAAAGATTTTATATTAAAATTTTATTTCTATGTTTAATTTGTTTAATTTTTTCAGTATTTTTAAAATATTTTTGATATTAGCATAAGATAAAATCTTTAAATAAAATTTATAAATTTTTTTTTTAAAATAAAATATTTTTTTGAAGATTTTAATATTAAAATTCATTATCAGCAATAAAACAGATTATTTTTTTATAAGACTTAATAATTTATTAAAAATATGAATTATAATTGTAAAAAATTTATTAATAATAAAATATTATATAATACTTTTAAAGAATAATTTATATATATATATATATGTTTTTTTATTATTTAATATAAAATTAATTATAAGCATTATTTTCAAGTAATGCTTATAACAAATAGGCTCTTTATAATAAAAAGAAAGGAAACTATCAAAAAAATTTTTTTGAGTTAATGTTAAATCTGAACTTATTTTATTAAAAAAATAATATTTAGCTTATAAAGTAAAAAAAAATTTTTTTGATAATTTCCTTCCTTTTTATTGCAAAAAGCTCAAGTAGTCTAAATTTCATATCTAACTTATTCTCTTATTGTAAAATTCTTTAACTTAGATTAATTATATTTTTAAATTTTTATTTAAGATTACTATCTGTAATTAAAATATTTAAAATTTGTCTAACTGTTAATTTAATCGAGATATATATTAAGTTTAACAAATCTGTTAAGTATGAAGATTTAAAAAATAAATTTATAAATAACTTTAATTAAAAAATTTAGATGATATATTCAATTAGGATTCCTAATTATAATGATTAAAATCTCATTGTGATACTTGATATAATATTTACTAAGTTTATTAGTATTAAAATAGCCAAAGTATACATGATTACACTTATGTTACTTAGGAAAATTATTCTCAATATAATTATCTTAATATGATATCTTAATAATCAGTGGCCCTATTTAATTACAAATTTTATATAAGAATCATGTCAAACTATATGAAGATGCTAAAAGATAAAAAATTATAAGTTTTAATTAATTCTTTTATTATAATATTAAATTCAGATTTGCAAAAGAATTAATTATAATATAAGCAAAGAGTCTATTTATTTATACAAAATCTTTTTATTACAATAAACTAATTGTTATGTTATAAATTAACTAATTTAATAAATAAAATATAAATAAACTAAGAATTTTAAACTTTATTTAATCTATGAAATTAAGTTATCATTAATATTTGAAAAATTGGCAGAATTTTATAGATTTTATATTAGAATTTGTAGAATTTGTAAATTTGTATTAATAAATCATTATATTATATAATTTTATATAACTTCATATTCATTAGTTAATTTTTCTATTTGATAATTAAAAGTTATATAGAATATATAAAAAAGTTATTTAAAAGCTTTTTAAAGCAAAAGAAAATTTTATTAGCTTAAAAAATTATTATAAGTTTTCAATAAAAATACTGATAATAAATAATCTAATGATAATGAAAGTAATGAAGAAAATCATATAAGTATACTTTAAAATCTTAAGAAAAAATGTGAAAAAGATCAATTATTAAAATTAAATATTTCAAATCATCATATGAAAGTAAAAGTAAAGAAAAAAGATAAAGATATTGTAAGAAATATAAGGATGTTGGATATTATCAAAAGAATTGTAAAGAATAGTTAGTATTTAATTTATTAATAAATTTTTTATTATGTGTTTATAACATTTTACTTAAAAATAAATAAAGTAAATAATTTTTCATTTTCAGTATCACAAATCATCAAACCACATGATATACAATACTTACGCTATAGAGCTATAGCTTCAAATTACAAAACTCTATTTTATAGTTTAAAAATTTTTTTAATAAATAAGTTCAGATTTAACATTAATTCAAAATATATTTTCAAAGATTTTTTTCTTTTTATTAAAAATATCTATAATATAAATTAAATAATATATTAATTTTATAGATAACTAGGAAATAGAAACCATTTTAAGTCCGGAGCGAAATTATTTTTGTTATTTGATTTTTGTTTTTTTTATTTACTGATCTTATCGTACACGCGGCGTGACAAACGGAAATATTCACGTGACCGAGATCTTTTACTAACACTCCTAAACATATATAGTCCTACGCTTCGCTCCGGACAATAATATAAATTGATTTATTTAATTAAATTAATTATTGATAATAATAAAAATCATTATAATTATATTAAAGTTTGATCTTATTAATACAAATGTAGTAATTTTATCATTTGTAAATTCATTTTACGTCAGAATATAATTGGATAACTTTATTGCGTAATCACGTGATTGATATATAAATTGGATTTAAAAATTGGTTTAAAAAAAAAGCAATATGGCATCATTTTCTAATTCAAAGATAATATCTGAAATATCCTTAACTTGTCAAAGAGCATATAAATCATTATCCAAAAATAATTCCGATAAACCTATAGGAATTCAACATAAATTTGAATGGACCATTCTTGTTGGTATTATTGCCTGTCATATCACAGGTAAATCATCATAAAAGACGAGAGAGAAGATGTGATGTAAAGGTATTCATAACTAGGATTTTATTTACAGATACTGGAGAACATGATTTGACGTGTATTTCACTTGGGTAAATTTCTATTGAATTATAATTCTATCACCTTTGATTTATTAATAAACCTTGCTCACGTGATCGAACCAAATTATTTAGAAGTGGATTAAAATGCCTACCACAAAGTAAACTTAGTAAATTAGGAGATTTGGTTCATGATAGTCATGCCGAAGTATTGGCCAAACGAGGATTCGTAAAGTAAGGTATCGAAAGTTTCACTCGAAGTCACATGATTATGATAAAAAATTAATTTTCGTGTATAATTTCAGATTTATCGTGAAAGAATTGGAATTGGCTTTAACATCCGAATCAAGATATTTTCAGATTAATGAACATTTTAATAATGAAACGGAGAACCAAGATCAAATTGGAAACAAACCATTTTTACTAAAGGATGATAAATTGAGTTTTCATATGTATATCAGTCAGGCACCTTGTAAGTATTTTTTAACTTTATTATGTCTATGATGGTTGCATAATTGTGTCTAATATAATTTACTTGTATAGGTGGTGATGCGTCAACAACAAGTTTAGCTTCAAATCAATCTTTAGAAGATGCTGAACTTTATATGAATTCATATAATCATTTATCGCAACCAATCCCCCAAAATTATGATCGTGAAATTAACAAGAATTTGAATACTCATGACAAAGTTTATGTAGAGAAAGGAAGGGAAGGGTTTAGAAAGGGAAGGATTGATTACGACTCTTTAGGAGTTTTAAGAACAAAGCCGGGTTTGTTACTCATTTTATAAGTGAATTGTCAATAAATTCACAATTGATGTTTTAGATATTTTCGTGAATTTAGGAAGGGTTGATTCAGAACCAACTTTATCGATGTCATGCAGGTTTAAAATCATGAAATTTATTTACATCTCTCATGTTCGTATCAAGATGATTTACTTTCTATGATTTTAATTTATAGTGACAAAATAGCACAATGGAATGTCGTTGGTTTACAATCTGCTCTATTATCTGAACTTATCTCCCCAATATATTTATCTTCTATCGTTGTGGGTGATATGTTCTCACAAGAATCCTTGTCTCGTGCTTTGTGTGAACGGATCGAAGGGTTGAATGGTATGAAATATAAAATAAGTATGGTTTTATGAAGTTAGATTTTCATGTATCAACCACCTGATTCTCTAAAGATCTTCCACATGAATACTCTTTACATAAACCAATAATTTCAAAGTCAAGCGAACCATTTGAAAGATCGAAATTTTGTTTATCGTCACGCTTTCCCAATGAGAACTTGGTCTCATCAAGTACAGGTACATAAAATACTTATCATCCTTTTTCGAATTTATCGTAATTAAATTATTTTATTATACCTTTTTGTTTCTAAAGCCTTAGTATGGTATAAAGGAGCGAGATCTCCAGAAATCCTTGTTTCTGGGAGAAAACAAGGTGCTATTAAATCAAAAAAAACAGGAGAATACTCACATAAAACTCGGTAATTAAACATTTCCCCTCAATGAATCAAATATAATAATTTTTTTATTAGCCAAATTTTTACAAATCTCTAAATTCAATGTAGATGTTCGGTTGCAAAATTATGTTTATTTCAAAGTTTAGATTCATTATTAAGACAAATTCCTAGGAATTTGGTACCATTTAATTTAAGGTAAAAATTCGCGTATATTACTTAAAACTCTCAATTAACGTTAACAAATAAATATTCTATTATAAATAGAAAATTTATAAATCCACCAAATGATAAGACTTATAGGATGTATAAATTAGCAAGTAAAGATTATCAAACTGCTAAAAGGATACTTCGAGAACAAAAGTTCAATCAATGGATAAAATGTCCTAGTGAAATATATGAATGTTTTAATTTAAACGGTGAAATAATAACGGAATAAATTAATAAATTATATCATTCATTGGATGATGACGGAAAATAATCAGAGGTACAATAAATATTTAAAGGTTTCATTGGTGGAAGACTTAAATCATCGGGGCCAACTGATTTGGCCGTATTCTGTAATAAAGTAATAATTTATTGGCATTTAATTTTTTTTTTTAATTGACATAATTCACAATTTTCACATTTTATTTGGAAATCATTTTACCAGTCTTATTGTATCTAAAACTCGATTAATCGGACTTGTAAGAAAACTTTCTGCTTCCTCAACACGATCCGCTACTTCGTTTACGCTTCCTTTGACTATATTTACGAACCGCTACTCAAGGAAGATTACTATACTCTTTAAAAAAAAAAAAGACTGAATCAAATATATAAATGATTTATAATTTAATTCTTACTTCCAATGCATCGATCTTATCATATAATGCGTCCAAGTGATGGGCAGCCTCGTAAAGTTCTTTCGAGGCAACTTCAGAACGCGTATCGGCGTCAGAACGAACCTACTACATTCTTTGAGTTTGGTTATTAAATAAAAATTAATGATAAAACAAGATAATTTACCTGTTCCAAAGATCTTTTGGTATCTTCCATTTGGACTGTTGTTGTCTCAATAGTATTACGGATATCATTCATGACTTCTGCGCTGTTTTCATAGGCATTTAAATGGTTCGCAAGTTCTTGTGAGACTTTGCTAATGTCGAAGCTAGGATCGGGGTTATCTTTGTCATCCATTAGATAAAGGTGTTAAAGTGGGAGAGAGTTATATAATCCTTCAAATCCTTCGGAAAAACTTTTGATTCATGCACCTACAAGATATCACGTGATATAAATGATCGATCTGGATATTTAAAATAATTTTTTTTTTTTTTTTTTTTTTTTTCAGTATTTGACCTCACCGTTGACGGGTAATTACAATTTATAACAATTATGAGTTATATAAAATTTATTTCATGATAAATTGATTGATGGAATTTAACGGATACATATTATTAATCTTTGTAAAATCAGACAGGAATTAGCAAGAATGGCCATAAAGAAATCTAAAAAAGCCACCGAATCAATCAATTCACGTCTGGCACTAGTAATGAAGAGTGGCAAGTATGTTTTAGGATACAAATCCACTCTTAAAACTCTTCGTCAAGGCAAAGGTTGGTATTTAATATTAATTTTTAAGTTATAAACGAATATAATAAGGGTCAGGAGTCGGCACACTTTTTTTTTTGAAATCGGCTGGCAAAGATAGTCCCTTTGAAATTAACACTTTCTTTTTTTTTATATTAGCCAAACTTGTTATTATCTCTGGAAATTGTCCACAATTGAGGAAAAATGAATTGGAATATTATGCTATGCTTTCAAAAACTACTGTACATCATTATACTGGCAGTAAGCATACTCTCCGTCAATTACTATTTAATAATGATTTAATTTTTTTTTAATTATTAATTTTTAATGCTTTAAATTAGATAACATTGATCTCGGAACAGCCTGTGGTAAATACTTCCGTGTTGGTGTTTTAAGTATCACCGATCCTGGTGATTCTGATATTCTTTCTAGCTCTCAATAAAACAGTACAGATTGAAAAAAAAGAAGATTTAAAATTATATATATATATTTTTTTTAATTCGTTAATAGTATAATAAAAAAAAAGTCAACAAGCAAAGCAAGCTTTATTAAAGTTGTTCCTAAGTCAATGTTGTTGGTTTTTTTTTTTGCTTTAGCGAATGGAATTAATTTGGGACTAGCTTAAATAACGTTTTTTAATAAAATTTTCAGGGCATTCTTAAAATGTACCCCGGGTGCAATTGTACGTATCACGTGAAAAGTACTTAAAAAATTTATTTAGGATAATAACCTAAACCCGGAGTCTAGGTTTAAATTTGCCCAAATTTCACGTTATTCCACGTGACTATAAAAGTTTGATTCGTTTGTTGGTCTAACTTCATCCGTAAAAAGTGAATTAAGGTTGCAGTGAAATCCAAAATTATCTCAAATTCTAAAGATGGAAGTACGCGTTTTAGGAAATTTTATTACTTTTGGGGAACGATATTATAAAAAATCTAAAGATCAACCTGAAGATTTCCCTCATAATTCGTACAATAAAAGTTATCAACCTGGAGAATTAAATAATAATTATAAACTCTATGAGGGGTTCAATAGAACCTCACAAGAAACAAGTAGACTGGACGACTTTGAAGAAGAACTTTGTACTTTCGATAATACAGTCATTTGGAGTAGGGGAAATATCTTGTATAAAACCTTCACGTATGAAGAGCCAGTTGTGCAGGCTTTATTCGTTTGGTTTAAGGTGGCAAAAAGTTATCATTCCTACTATCTTGAAAAACGTTCAGATACTTATCATAAAAAACCCTTGCAAACGGAAAGACAACGTGCTCTCTTTGTGCTCCTTGAAAATTACGCCAAAGTGTACTTCTTAGACGGTCAACATTTCTTGATAAGAGTCCCCTCTCACGTACGTTGTGCTTGGGCGATGAACATTGGCGTTATCCTTCAACGTGATTCGGAGGATGAATATTCCTTAAATATATCTAATTTCACAGCTGGTCCCTTCCCGGTTCTTTATAGTATATTAGACCCTTTAGAGAATATCAAACCTATTTCAATTGTGGATAAGATAATTTGTGAGGGAGAGAAGGTCAAAATATTAGGAACAACACGACCTTTTTCGGATAATGAAGAAGTCGTGATTTTTGTCAATGATCGCGATGATCAAGGAAACAATCTTATTATAGTTACGTTAAGTCGTAAAACTCTTAGGCATTCTGTATATAGGTATGCTATAAAGAAAGAAAATAGTTTAAAAATGTTGGAAAGGATTTGCTCATCTCCCATCAAAACCAGTAATCGAAGAAGTTCAAACGTTCGTTCTGATAATTCATTGCAAAATAAAGAGCGACGAATCTCTATTGGTCTTGATGATTCATTTCAAGGTTCCGAAGGAAGAACTTCTCTTCAAAGTGTGGATCGAACTTTATACGCGACTGGTGTTAATTCAGATGACATGTATAATGATTTAAGATTCAAATCCGATATGAAAAACGATATTTATATGGAATTACTTTGGACGGAACCTGTAGCGAAAATGTAATTAATGATTATTGAACCTTTTTGTTCTTTTTCTTTATTCCTTATTATTAAATCTAATATGCATTTGCTAAATTCTCAAGTGGAAAATTTGAGGACAGCATAGTATTTATAGCTCACGACTTTGATTGTCACGAAATTTTATGTATATTTACTAAATCCAATCAAAGTTTCATTGCATTGGATATTTTTGCTCATTCGGATGGGTTAAAAGCTTTATTCAAATTTGAGTCCAAGGTCATAGCAGCCTCTCCGATTTCTGCAACTAGACTCAATTACAATGATATTTTATTTGTAAAGGAAGGTATTAAACAGCCAATAGTTGAACTATGGATTGGCCATGGCGAAACCATTCCTTTGAATTTGGACTATGATTTTGAAGGATTATTTGATTCTGCTCGAAATTTGGAAGAGACATATTATGAAAAAGAATCTTTCCCTTTGTCAACCTTTCATCATCAATTAATCGAAAAGTATCTAGTAACGGATAAAACCATATCAAGTTTGAAACCATTAAATTCAAATGTTTGCGATTTGAAAGATCGCGTTCGTCATCGTGTAAATTTTGCTTTTCAAAATCACACATTACTTAGGGTGGACTTGAATTTTGTTCCGAGGTCTAATCTCGTTCGAAAATGTCTGGAGATATTAAGTTATGCATTACCAGTAGAGTTATATTATAACTTTAAAGCACGATATCTTTGTTATCAATACACGAAAGATAATGATGTGAAATCAGCATCTAGAAGGAATGAGTGGGAAAATTTTGTTATATCTCTCTTATCATTCTTTCCTTTTTCTGTGAAATCTAATGAAGGCATCAAGGCAGAAGAAATTGAAGGATGGGATTTTTTACTTTCATCTTCACATCATACGAAATTTAATTTCAATTCTCATTTACAATGCATTCTTCCGATATCGGATCAATTACCGACAATCGATGATGATTCTATAATTAAAATGTGTGAAAAATCTAGGGGGACGTTTTTTGCCAAGAATCAATCCGACCAAAGATTTTTAAATTTTCTACCTGCTATACTCCTATCCCTTCACCTTGTTTATCAAGATCTAAAATTACATACTTTAACGCAAAAATACGTTGATGATATTTTACCATTGTTGATTCAATTATCAACATTTCTGGATTGGAAAATTTATGTTGAATATTATAGGATAAATTATGGATTAGATAAAAAATTATCTATCAAGGAAGGTTAGTATAAGATTATCATAATTAGTTCAATCATTATTTACGTGTCGAACTAATCTTTTAATTATTAAACTTCAGACGTTCTTATGAGCACAACGTTAAATTCCGATCATCCTTTCTTTTCACCTCCTGATATAACTCAATGGATTTTGAAGTGTTTTCGAAGTAATGTTGATCAGATTAAACCTTTTCCAAATCCCATGGATATAAGTCGAATTTTCACCATTCCAATAAGAGAGAATATCTTAGTTCAGAATCTTGATTGTTGCAAAAGAATGCGACAAATATGTTCGATCTATACTAAATTAGTTCGTGAGGGAGAAAATGCAACGATTTTTGAAATGGTGAAGTTTGGATTTACAAGTAAGGACATTGAATCTTTACCGTTTGGCATCGTTGTTCCTTTATGCGAAGCTATTAGGAAGTGTCGAGAAAATCCCCCAGAAGATTGGCCAGAAGATGCTTACGTACTTATAGGTATATCCTTGAAGATTTTTTTTAGGGAGAGGCTAAAGCTTTATAAACTTTGTTAATGATGTGTATTATCACAGGTCGAGAAGATTTAGCCAAACTGAAATTTGGTACGCCGATTAGATATATTCACTCTCGAGGAAGCAAGACGGTGACGCCTTTTTACTTCCTTACACGCTCCATAAAAATTCTGCTTGTTTATTAAATTTATTCATATGATAATAGGAACCAAAACCACAATCTATTTTACAAGTGATCGAGCCTACAATTTCCGCTCCACCACAAGAAATTCGGGAAGAAATAAATGCAAGTGAAATTTCAAACCGCGAAATCACGGATTTAAGATTTGGTAGTGATAAAAGGTTAAATGAAGTGCAGCTACTCTTACAATCAAGTAATGTTGTACATATCACTACTGATATGAGGTATATTTAAATAACTTGTTTGATTTTTCATTTTTTTGATAAATTATATATTTCTAACCATATTTAAGCATTTGAATAATCAGTCAGATTGAAGAAAGTTCTCCATTAGTTTTAGACCGTGTTCAGAATCATTGTTTAAATAATTTTGCACTTCCGGTTGGAAGAGGAATCTTAACTTATCATACTACAACACCTATACTCACTGAACCTTTTCCAATCCCTGAAGCAAGTTTAACTATTAAAGTGTTACCATTCAATTCTACAATACAAGTTGATCGGACTCTTCGGATGCCGGATAACATCGAATGGCCAGAATTTCATGAAGGTGTCGCATCCGGTTTACGAATCCCGTCAAGCTGTAATATTGAAGGATCCTGGATTTCACTTAATAAACCAAATGTAGCGGACAATAGCCACGCGGGATTTCTTTTGGGGTTGGGATTCAATGGACATTTAAAAGCTATGAGTAAATGGCAAGCTGTAGATTATTTAATGAAAACACCAAAACACGATATGACAACTATCGCATTGGTTCTTGGTCTACCGGCTTCATATATTGGAACTATGGATACAGAAATCACAAGGTTTGTGGCGGTTCATGTTACAGCCTTATTACCACCAAAATCAAATAGCTTAGATGTATCACCTCTAGTTCAGTCTGCAGCATTACTTGGTATTGGTCTACTTTATATGAATACATGTAATCGATATATGGCTCAAGTTATGCTTGGAGAAATCGGTACAAAGGCTTTGAAGGTGTCTGATAATTCTGAAACGGATTTTTCGGAAGGATATTCACTTGCAGCCGGACTTTCTCTTGGATTCATAACTTTGGGTCAAGGAGACGAGGCACATGAATTAGCCGATTTGGAGATGTTCAAAGAATTAAGATTATATATTAACGGGGGTAGGGCTTCGATGAAGAAATCGTCTAATACGTCTTCATCTGGAAGCGGAGGTCGTTTGAACGGAAATGCTGATGGTGTCAACGTTAATATTACATCACCAGGAGCGACAATTGCACTTGGATTGTTGTATTTGAAATCAAATAAAGAAAGCGTTGCAAGAGCAATTCCTATTCCGGAAACCGAATTTTTCTTGGATTACGTTAGACCTGATTTTCTTTTGATAAGAATTCTTGCTCGAAATTTGATTATGTGGAGTAATATTAAATCTGATCAAGTTTGGGTCGAAAGTCACGTACCTGAATATATGAGGAAAATATTGGAGCAAAAAAGTCGTGGACCTCGGAATGATGATGCTGATCCAAATTTGGAAGCTATCAAAAGGTCCTATTATTATATTATAGCGGGTGCTTGTTTCAGTATGGCTTTAAAGTATGCTGGATCGGCAGATAAAGCAGCATTACAGTGTTTACTCCATTATCTTGATTTTTTCATGAATCTGGGGATTTCAAGAGGTAATTTTACGTCCCAAGCATTTACACCCTTTTTTTTAAAAAAATTAATTCAGACTTAACTATAAATCTTATTCGCTATAGCACCCACATTTGACGAAACCATCACAAGATTTGCGATCAAAACCTGCTTGAATGTTTTAACTATGTGTACTTCGATCGTTGCAGCTGGTACCGGTAATCTTCAAGTGTTACGAAGAATACGTAAACTTCGCCGATTAGACATTAATCCCGGTAATATCACTACCTACTTTCGTTCGTACGGGAATTATATGGTTATAAGTATGTCTTTAGGGTTTTTGTTTCTTGGCGGAGGGACTTATACATTATCAACATCCAATAAGGCTATTGCCGGATTAGTTTGTGCTTTATTTCCAAGGTTCCCGGTTGAATGTTTTGATAACAGGGCTCATTTACAAGCTTTTAGACATTTATGGGTGTTGGCTGCTGAACCAAGATGTTTAGTATTAAGAGATTTGGAAACTCGGGAAGCTTGTTATGTACCAGTAAAAGTTACATTTAAAGATTTCTATAATGCTTCTATTACAAAAGAGTCTGATGACACAAAGGAAACTGTAGTTGAGACTATAACGTTGGATTTGGTTGCGCCTTGTTTGCTGCCTGAATCGAATTTTATACAAAAAATTGAAATCGACAGTCCAAGGTATTGGCCCATAAGGTTAGAATTTAAGAAATCGGATGTGATGCTAGAGTTTTGGAAAAATCCTACAGTTTTCGTCAAAAGGAAAACCGGACATTTGACTTATTCTGAAGTAAGATAAGATTTCTTTGAACTTTGAACATTTTATTGAATTTTAATTCCTTATAAATTGTTTTTTTTATTCTAGGATCCTCAAGGTTTATGGGATATATCTACACATATATTCCCAAGAGGAAAAACTTTAGTAAAATCTAAAAATTCCAAGGCCCAAAAGCAAAAGGATCTTGACTTTATTAAAATCTTTTCATCAGATCCTCAAGTTCAAGCATTTACCAGATATCTATGTGAAATATCTTCCACAAATGTTTATGACAAGGGACGAGAGTTGTCAACATTTTCTACTGAAATATTATCAGAATGTCTAAATGGAAATAAACCTGAAGCTATTCAAATTTACCTTTCCCTTTATCAAGTTCAACAAAGTTTGGAACAAATCAGCGAATCAAATCTATGGAATCTTAAAATAATTCTCGAGTACTATCGTGCAAGGAAAAGGATAAAAAATAACGCAAACGAAGAAGACACAGATAACACGCTTATAAAAAGAGAGTATCTTGGAGGGTTAAGATCAAGACTTGACCAATTCTTTGAAACTCCCTTAAACAATTCTAAACAAGCAAACAATACTCCGGTTCAGACGCAACAAAATTTTTTACATGTTTTACGTACGTATCTGACAAATTTTGAAAAACATGGAGGTGAAGAAAACAGTAAACAATCTTTACATTATCTATCATCTTGGCTTATTTATCACGAAATACCAGATCGTTATACTTTAAAAACTATTGTAGCATACTCTAAGGATTTGAAAGGAATCTTACAAAATAATATATTAACGTCTGATGATGTGGTTTTGCAAGTTCTTTCTACGTTCTGGCCATACATTTCCTTTAACACTTTAAAGATTATTCAAGATTGTTGTTTTACTTGGAACTTATAGAAAATAATTTCAATAAAAATATATAAAAGTTTTTTTTTTTTTTTATTCTGTGCTTAAGCAATACAATTTAATAAAAAAATATCGTGTACTTTTTTTTTTTTTTTTTAAAAAAAAATTTGTTTATTATTCATCCAGTTTAAAAGAAACCGTTCTTGAATATCGTTTATTTCTACCTTCTTTATTACATTTGAAATATTATATTAATATATATATTTTATTTATTTTAAAATGTTTTTAAAATAAAAAAAAAAAAAAATTTCGATCCGGTATCTAAATAAATAAAAAAAATAAAAAAAAAAAAATTGTTATTTAATAAAAAAATTTCGTTCGTTAAAGAGTTAATAAATGAATAATCAGAGCAAAAGTTTTATTCTCACCTTTAAAATTAAGAAAAGATCATTTATTTAGAACTTGTGTATTTAGTTACAGCCTTGGTGCCTTCAGATACAGCGTGCTTGGCCAATTCACCAGGTAAGATTAAGCGCACGGCAGTTTGAATTTCCCTGGAAGAGATAGTTGATCTTTTGTTGTAGGCCGCGAGTTTTGAAGCTTCACCCGAAATTCGTTCAAAGATGTCGTTCACAAAAGAGTTGAGGATGGACATGGCCTTATTGGAAATACCGGTATCTGGATGCACTTGCTTGAGAACTTTGTAGATATAACTTGAATAGGTTTCTTTTCTGACCTTTCGTTTCTTTTTGGTTTTATCACCGGTGGCAACTGGTTTCTTGCTGTCTTTCTTTTCAGCAGGAGCTTTTGATGCTGGTGCTTTTCCGGCGGTTGCAGGTTTCTTTTCGGCTTTTGGTGCCATTTCGTTTTACTTTATTTGTTTTTTGTTAAGAAAGGGTAAGTTTGGGGAAGAGTAAATAAAAGAAAAAAAAATATAAATGTTATGGGAAAATATGTTTAAAGTGTCTTTAATGAATCAAAAAATTGATAGTTGCAAAAGAACAAAGTTGGGAGAATCAAGGCCCTTTATATTAAAAAAAATTATCGATCCTAAACGCGAAAATTCGCGTTTGTCATTTTTTTTTTTTTTTTGGGCTTAAAATCAAAACAATAAATAAATTCAAACGCGATCATCGCGATTATGACACGAGTTTTACAAAAATAAATATTTTTTTTTTTCGAGATGTTTACCTTTTTTTTAAAAATAGTAATTTTTGAGGAGTTCAGGGAAATCTTTGTATTAAGATAAGAACCGCAGACTCGAGAATCACGCGATCAGCTTGACAACGCGTAAATTTTCAAAGGTTCAACAAACAATAGGAAAAGGAAATGATTTGTTAGGGTGGCTTAAACGGGCGTAGTATTGTTCCGATTTGTTTTGTTCATGAAAGACACGTACTTTTTTGAATTAGGAGGTAAACTTGTTTACATCATCAAAAAAAAAAAACACACCAAAAGCGTGGCGTACAAATCTCCTATAAATTAACCTCATTTTTTGCAGCGCCCTTACACCCCTAATTTCCTCTTTGACAAATTTTTTTTTTTTTTAATTAATTATTATTAATTATTAATAACATTTTTTTAACAAAAAGCCACTACTTTTTTTTTCGTTTTCAAAAAAAAATAAAAAAAAATTTTTTTAAACCTCTCCGTATTTCTTTTTTATAAAAAAAAAAACACCAGACGAAAAATACAAACCTTTTTTTATTATTTGATTAACAAACATGTCTAGTGCAGCTGGTGGTAAATCTGGTGGTAAATCTGCCGCTACAGTTTCTAAAGCTAGTTCATCCCGTTCAGCCAAAGCAGGTCTTCAATTCCCTGTTGGTCGTATTCACCGTCTACTTCGTAAAGGAAATTATGCTCAAAGAGTTGGTGCCGGTGCTCCCGTTTACCTTGCCGCCGTTCTTGAATACTTGGCTGCGGAAATTCTGGAACTCGCTGGAAATGCTGCTCGTGATAACAAAAAATCAAGAATCATTCCTCGTCATCTTCAGTTGGCCATTCGTAACGATGAAGAGTTGAACAAGTTACTTGGTCATGTTACAATCGCTCAAGGTGGTGTCCTGCCGAATATTCATCAAAATCTTTTACCCAAGAAATCAAAGAAGGGAGCTGCTGCAGCCGAAGTTTAAATGTGCTTAATGGTGGGAACCTAGTAAAAAAAAAAAAAAAAAAGGATAGGAAATATATTATTTTCTTGGGAATATGAAAGAGAGAACATTATTAATAATTCAGAAATATTTCCTTTTATCAATGATTTATTTGACAATATTTTTTTTTTTTCTTTACCTTTTTTTACATTTGCTTTGTTTTTTTTTTTTTCTTTACAACTAATATTCCTAATTTACATTATCTGAGGAGATGGTAAAAAAGAAAATAGTATAACAAAAAGGGAATAATAATAAAACTTCAATCTATGATATTCTTGCCGTCTTTGAATCATGTATATATATATATAATTATGTATAGATAGGAAAATATAATTTTTTTTTTCCTTTTCTTCTCAAATTTTATCACGCAATATTACATTTTATTTTTTTCTTTTAATAAAAAGAATTTTAATACCATATTTTTTACATCAAAAGTGAATCGAACAAGTTAAGGGTTCAATTAAATAAAATTATTAGAAAAATCTTTATAGTAGTATGGGGGTCAACTAGTAAATTATATATAAGATTAAAATTGTAATTAAATAATAACGTCTCTAATTTTTTTTTTTTTTTTTTTACTTTTGAAAGAGAACAATCATGTTCAGTATTTTTGATATGCAAACAAAATACGTTTACATTTTTAATTAACCTAATAACATCAAATCACATCTCTGTAGAATTCACTTAAAAAAATTTTTTTATTCTACTTTTTTTTTTCCTCCTTTACCTTAAAATAAAGTATCTTGTTCACGTAAATACTCTCCAATATCAGCTTGATGAAAAGCAACAATATCCGTAGGTTGTAATTTACGAGTTTCAACTGTTGATCTCGCCGTAACCCCAAATCCCTAATTTCCAGTCAGAAAAAAAAAAAAAATTAGCATTTATTTCAAACCACACGTTTGGTTTTTCAACGATTTTAAATCTTAAATCATACCAAAGGAATATCAGACATTGAATAGATCACAACACCTTGATGTTCAGGTGTATCATCCGTTATACGTCCTAAATGTGCTTTAAGTACATTATTTCCGTATAGAAATGTATTTTCTCCATTTGGTTTTATCCAAACTTTGTACTAAACCAAAAAAAAAAAAAAAAAATGTAAGATTGAGAAATGAAAATCAAAAAAGATATGTAACAGATTCTATCGTCTTTACCTTTGCATATTGTGCAAGATAGTCTAACGCTGTGATGTGTAATTTGAATTTCTTTGATTTCGTAAATTTACCAAAACATACTCCCAAAGAAATTAATTGATCACGTCCTACACTTATTGCTTGTTTCATTAACGCTTCACTATAAATAAATAAAAGCTTGTTTATTTTTAAATCATATAGTTTGTTCCCATGATTTACTCTAAACCCCCTCCAAACAAAATAAAAAAAAACCCCCGTATCCTATTCATAACCCACCTCATATAATAAACTTTATCATTATGTAATCTAAAATAATAAGTTTCATCCGATCGATCAATTAAATGTACTATATTCCTTCCAATACTTTGATAAAATTAGAAAAAAAAGGATATATAAATATTTTTAAATGTGCATTTTTATTCATTTTTAAAGAATTACAAACTAAACCGATAAAAAAAATAATGCTTTTAATAGAAAGTACTCACTACTTCGCCAACTTTTCGAAAAATACTTTGGTTTCGTCTTCCGTCAATTGCCTCATTTTTATCCAAATATTTTTGATTTTGTGTTCAATTTTTTTTTAAAAAAACCCAGCATTTTATGGAATTATGGATCGATCACGTGAATGATAAATTTGACATGCGACCAACTTAACACAAATAAAAACACGACTTTCTAATTTAATCATCGAAATATATATTGTTTATAGAGATCTGGAGAAAGAAGTTAATGAACACAAATAACATCTTAAATCGTTACAGAATATTAACCAAGTAATTATTTCATTTTTGATCTTTGCATAATAGGAATAACACGATGAATATGTTGTTTAGACATTAATAAGTGTCATGCGATTGAAAAAGCGACATATTTTAGACAATAATGCCGGTTAATTCTGATTAGGATGGGATTTTGCGTATAAAGATGTCTTCCTGAAAGAGCTGGGTTCATTAAAAGATATGGGATTCTTACGAAGTAGTAAATTGGAAAGCTTTAGCATTAAATAATATAATACTTTTGAAACATCAAATCAAGGCGTCTTTTGAGCTCTATCCGTAAAACTAAATAGTTAATCAAGTGATATTTTAAAGTAGTTTTAAAAAATTATCTTATTTACGAGAACAATTTATCTGATTTAATATAATGTAAGTTTTGATAAATAGAAATAAGATTTTATAAAAGGTGTGTGTGTATATATATCTTTTTTTCCCTGGTAGTTTTCCCTGATAGTTAAAATACAAAAGATTGACAGTCACTTAAAAAAAAAAAACCCCCTACACAATTATAAAACAAAAATATCAAAAATTACAAAAGAATGTAACATTGTCTTCAAACATCTTGCTAAAGATGAATCTTAAGATCTAAAAAAAAAAAAAAAAAAAAAACAAAAAAAAACAAAACAATATAAAAGGATGTTAAAAGAAATGAAAGAATTAGTATGTAAGAAAAAAGAAAAAAGGAATTGCATTTACAATATAGTAATATACGTTATAATGTGTGTTAATGATAAAATATATAAATTATGTGAAGATAAATAGCCAAAATATCCGAAATAACAGAGGAAGAAAGTTCCGACTCAAAATGGGTGATTAACAACAATTATTGCCGTTATCTGTATTAAGTGGTAAAGTCTTCGGTTGCAAATGCCCTCCAACCTTGATACCATTCGACTTTGCAAAAAAAAAAAAAGGTTTTTATCAAGTTAAACCATACAATTAATTTAAAGTAAACAATAAACCAACCTCATTTGAAACGTCAAAAACGCCTTGTTTGATTTTTTCGTAAATATCTTTGGCAGTATCTACAAATGACTTTATTGAACATCAATAAATAAAATGTAATTAATTATTAACGTTTAAGGCAAGAAAAAAATATGTATATATATTCAAATTGTTTAAACTTTACTTCTTCAACGTTATCCGCTGTCTTCGCCGAGGTCTCCATAAAAAATAATCCATGTTGTTGGGCAAACGCTTCACCTTCAGCATAGGAAACAGCGCGTTTAGATTCAAGATCACTCTTGTTGCCAATCAACATTATTGTAGTATTGGAGTTAGCGTGTTGACGAGCATCTTCTAGCCAGATGAGAAGGTGATCAAAAGTTTCACGTCTAATTTTAGAAAAAATAAATATATTTCATCTAATTAATTCATTAATTATTGAAGAAATTAAAAAGTAATCAAATTTACCTAGTTATATCATAAACTAAATGTAATAAAATTAATAAAAGTTTCACGTAATATTTTAAAAAAAAAAAGTTAATTGCGATTAACTATATTAACCTAACAAAGCCCCAGCAGCACCACGATAATAACTCCTCGTTATGCTCCTAAAAGATTCTTGTCCAGCCTTTTTTTTTTTTTTAAAAAAAAAAAAAAGGAAAATAAGATACCACCATTCAATATATCTATATACAGTAGATTTAACGTACCGTATCCCAAATCTGAAGTTTAATTTTTTTCCCTTCAACCTAATAAATTATAGAGAAATCATAAATTATTAAAACGAATAACTATTAATTTGGTCATTATATACATTATACGTTGTCAGTGAATTAAAGTAACCTATTATCTTACATCCACAAACCGTGCTCCAAACTCCACACTATAAATATGGAATGTAATTAAAATATGGAACTTCCATTCTTCGTGAAAATGTGATGTACACGAACAAATACCAATGGATCACTTACCCAATCGTCAAATCATGAGCTGGCTGAAACCGTCTGTCAGTAAATTGTAAAAGTAAGCATGACTATAGAAAGTAAAAAAATATATATGTATTCAAGATCAAAATGTTATCAGATCTCAAAGTATTACGAGTTGTCGATCCAAGATGTGAAAAAGAAAAAGATCATGACGAAAGGTAGAAATTTAAATAATACCTTTCCGACACCTACAAAAGTTTCAAAAATTACATATGAATCAATTAGCATAAAATAAAGAAAACAGATACTATATAATATATAAATACCTGTGTCCCCGATAATAATGTACTGCGTGGTAAAATTTAGCATTCAAAGTTAAAAGAACAAAAAAGATATCAAAGTAAGTGATCGATAACAGAAACCGGAAAAGTGATCCAAATGTTAATGGTGTTGAAGGAATCGTAACGCAAACCTTTATAATGTAATCGTAGTTAAAGTTTGACGACATTCTGTAAATGAAAAACGATCTAGAAAGAAGGTGTTAAAAGTCTCTAATTAATTGCCGTGAACCTTTACTACTAAATGTACGACGGTCGAAATTAGTGGTTGACAAGGAAATTGGGAAGTAAAATTTAGAAAAGAAAGAGCTTCTGTTTATTTCATTCAAATTAAACCGTAAAATGTTACTAAATTCTGTGGGGTTGAAATTATAAAAGGGAGGCTTTTATGGCTTTTTGAATTTCGGTAAACGGAGTCAACATCCGAGACTTTCCGGGTACTTAATCGAATTGCCAAAAACCGACACCCTCTGTGTGACTATTAAAAACTAGATAAAACTAATACTGCACTCTATAATTTTTTCACAATTTCGATAATAATGTCACAGTGGATAACGCCAGGTGAGTAGTCGTCTTCGCTAAAAATTACTCGGGCATATTTTACAAGTCTTCAAGAGCGAAATTCTAGTTTATAAACCTTGTAAATATCCAATAATTTCTCCAAAAACGGATTCCTTCTGATAGCTACAAATCCTTTAATGTATCAATAATATACTTTCTCAAAAAAATTTTTAATATAGATACCTTTTTTATAAAGTTTTTATTATTAAAATTCCATGCCTCACTTAATTTTCAACATCAAAAAAAAATTTCCTTAAATGAATTCTGTTTTTGTGAGTAGGTAGTTTCCAGCAACAGCCACCTTATTCATCTTTTCCAGTACCACCAAATCAATATATACCACCACCACCACCACCCTATCGACCACCTCAAACTCAGGCTCCACCTATTGATGATTTATCTTTGGCTTTCGATAATCTTGCAATGGCATTAAGAGCCACTGCTGGACCACCAGAGATAGATAATTTTCAAATATCACTCGGAATGTTGATGCATGATTGTTCACAGTCCAATATACAAGTACCATTATTTTTTTTTTTATAATTGAATTAGCAACCAACTTTTTTTTTTTATTTATCAATATTCTAACACAATGATTTAGCGTGGTAAAACATGGATATTTGATCATTGTACAACACCAGCACATTTTGACACCTTAATATGTTTTATTATTGCGCTTTCTAAATCTCGACCGATATTTGAGGATAGACTTCACTTAATATACCTTATAAACGATGTACTTTTTCATAGGTAAGTGCTAGAAAGTATTTTACATTATGAATTATTTAATTGAAACATATTAATAAAGCCAATTAAACAGTGAACGTAGACAGGAACCTTGGATTAAGGAAGCATTACATCCACATTTACTCGCGCTATTGCGGGTTGCTTTTCATTTTATGGATGCAAACGAGAAGCAGAAAGAGAAAGTTGTTAAAGTAATTATTATGATTATTATTAATTATTCGACAAATTTTTTTTTCTGGTAATGATAATTAATTATATATTGAATTAGATTATATCTATTTGGGACGACAAACAATACTTTGACGATAATAAAATCAATGCTTTAAGGACCGGTATTATAATTCCACCACCCCCATCTAGTGGTATTTCATCATTATCATATTCAAATCCTGGTCAACATTCAATTGGACACTTGCGTTATCAGGGTCAACAACCTTATTATAATTCAGGTGTCCCGCCCCCACCCCCACCCCCAACTGGAATATTTCCTGCCCCGCAGCCAACTGCTCAATCCATTTCTCCTCCAGTTGCTCATTTATCTCCACCAATCGCACAAAGTCTTATCCGACCTGCTTCTGAACCTGTACCGACCGTTATTCCAGAACAGTTTCCACCAGGCCCATCTCCTCCAAGCATGCCGATGCAAGGAATAATCAGGTCTTCAATTCCTACGACCCCGATACCGTCTGTCTCGGAAAAAAAATATTATGAATTACCAGCTGGACTAATGGTTCCAGCGGTCTTGGTATGAGTATTAGATAGTTTACTAGAATATTCAAAGTTTTATGCCCATTTAATTCTTTACTTATTTGCCAGCTTTTTTAGCCTGAGGATTCTCCTTATACACCCATTCATGCGGCTTCAATTAGGTTACCACCTCACCGTTTACCCCCTACCACGGAATTGTTAGAGGCTGTTGACAGATTCTATGAAGGAATGTTTATAATAGAATCTAATCTAGAAGGGGAGGATGAACGTGCATTAAAAGAAAAATATCAAATTGACCTAGATAAGGATGGTTGGGAAATTGGATTTTTAGACGATTTTTATATGGATCTGCAAGAGCAACGAGAGGAAGCATTGGCGAGAGCATCGTCCGATAGACATCACCAACAACAACAACATGTATCTTCATTCAGAAATAGACGGGATGATCGTGGAAGTAGATGGTCAAGGGACAGAAGCTATTCCATGTCAAGATCACGATCTAGATCATCATCAAGATCTCATTCGAGGAGGCACAGGAGGCGTCATAGCTATAGTGATTCTTCTATAAGTCGAAGTCGCAGTCGTTCAAGTCGTTCAAGAGGTCGCAGGAGGCATAGACATAGAGTGGATAGCAGGAGTCTTAGTCGTAGCCGTTCGAGGTATAGAAGCCATAGTCGGTCAAGACATAGCTGGAAGAGGGTAGCTAGGTCAATTTCTCCTAGGACAAGAACTCGATCAAGAACTCGTTCGAGAACTGTTTCTAGATCACTTTCTGAGTCTCGTTCAAGAACTCGCTCACTTACTAGGTCCAGGTCAAGAACTAGAACAAGGACAAGATCAAGGACTCGATCAAAAACTAGGACTAGAACTGTATCAAGATCTTTGACTAGAGTCAGAACCAGATCAATTTCATCAAGATATAGTTCGAGGTCAAGAAGTCGATCAAGATCAAGATCATATGATCGAAGTTATAATAGTCATGACAGACGTAAATCAAGTGATTATAGTTCATCATCCCGTAGACGTTATCGAAGTAGATCTTATAGTAGATCACGATCACGATCGCCTTTATATATAAGTGGCGGCGGCGGTGGCGGCGGCGGCGGGTTAGGTTACGTTAAAGATCAAGAAGTTGCTAGAGCAGATAAAATGATATCTGACCGTAATGTCGGGTTTCAAATGTTAAAGAAATTAGGTATCTATATATATTTTTTAAAAGTAATATTTTGAAGTTTTCTTTTTCCTTCTTTCCCTAAATGAAATCATTTTTAAATAACTAGGTTGGGAAGGAGCTGGTACGGGATTAGGTTCAACCTCAACAGGCATTGCGGAACCCATAAAGGGAGGAGAACTTAGGTTTGGTGAACAAAAGTATTTGGGGGTTGGTCATAGTCGCGGGGAAGATGGTGACATCTTTGATCAATATCGTAAATCAAAAAGTTATACTTATCAACGAAGTGAAATTTGTTCAAAAGATAAAAAACCGGCTGGATGCTTTAGATGTGGAAAGGTGAATTTCATAAATTATTTATTATTTTAAATTTCAACTCTTACGATCAAATTTAACAAATAATCAATAAAAAACTAATGGTACTTTTTTTTTTTTTTAGCACGGTCATCTGGCTCGCGATTGTTCTGAATAATTAATTTTTAGGAAGAAAACACAAAAAGAACTTCGTAATAAAATTTTATGTTTATATACTTATAACCACATATCGTGAATCTCAATTATTTAATTATTTTCAACTATTTATTAAATGACAAAGAAAAAAGCAATATATATATATATTATGTTATAAAGCATTAGAAAGCATTAAAGAATATTAGAAAGCAATTATAAACTAGAATTAGAATTATTAATTAAAAAAAATTTATCGAAGTCCCGTAGAGCCGAATCCATTAAGACCACGTTCAGTTCCTCCCAATTCATCGACTTCAATGACATTTGGAGTACGAATCCTTTCAAGAATAAGTTGCGCGATTCGATCACCTTCTTTAACTGTAAATAATTATATTAAGATTTCAAGTTTTTCCTCAAATAAATAAATTATAAAGGCTCGAAATATTATTTATTACCTTGATGATCACGTTTACTATGATTAAACAAAAGAACTCCTAATGGGCCACGATAATCAGAATCTATGACGCCAGCACCACAATCAAGGAAATTTTTTAAAGCTTTTTGAAGGGAGAACGTAGCGAAATCAATACGTAAGGATTTAATACGCGATGAAGATTAAAAAAAAAAAAAAAAAGAAAGTTGTAAGAATTTAATACCAAGTCCACTTCTTGGGGCAACGCGACCATAAGTTCCCTCTGGAATACCAATTGAGATGTCAGTAGGAACCAAAGCTTTTCCTTCAGCTGGTATAACTATATCGGCCGCACTTATTTATAATAAATAAATATAAATAAATAAAAATAGATTTAATTATTTTAACAACGAAAATGAAATAACTTTATTTATTATACCTGAATAAATCATAACCAGCAGCTTGCCCGGAGCCACGAAATGGAAGTTTTGCTTTAGAAGTGAGACGTTTGACGAGTAAATCTTTATTAGGTGAAGCTGAGGAACTTGAAGTTCTACAACGTTTTACTGAAGGTCTCGGTGAATCTGAAGGACTAAGTTGGTTTACATGTAAATCCGAAAGAACAGGTGAACCTGGAGACTTTCGTTTTCTGATGTTGGGAGTGGCAGGACAAGTGGGAGAGGATGGGGAGTTGGGGGAGGTGGGGGTGATAGGAGTAGTAGAAATCGTGGCCATTTCTTCTGTACTTGGCATATTGTTTAATAAAAATTTTTATATATGATAAACGTTGTGATAGTGAAGAGTAAGGTTAATTTTTTGGAGGAAGATTTTTTTTTTTTTGGAGAAAGAGTTCATTGAGAGAGGGGAACGTGCTCATTTTATCGGTCTTCGATCCATCTGCTCATGAATGAAATTGGGTAATACCGTCACCTTGATAAACAAGTAGCGAACGTGTAAACATGTAAACAAAAAAAAAAAATTTTTTAAACCGCGCGTATTTTTATAAGATTATAGGATGCGCAGACGATTACCTAAATTTGTTCACAATGGTTTATACTTTTTGGGTATTTGTAATTATGTCACATACACACAAAAGGAAAGAATGCATATTCGACTGCTTCCACCTCAATTTTAAGATCGACCCCTCAAAAATCGCTTCACGTCACGTAAATGACATGGGATAATCATGAACCGCTGTTTAATGCAGATCCAATAAAAGGGCCCCTTAAAAAAGAAAAAAAAAAATTTCAAACACTAAAGAAACACAAAAGAAGGTATTTGTAATTTATATATTTTATTAGCTTTTTATTGTTCTCTTCGCGATGATGTCAAATGTATAATATGTATCGTAAACTATTTTATTAATCTGAATTCTAAAATAATTAATTATGAAGAATCCTATCTTCTCTCTGAGTGAAAGGCATTTTTTTTTTTTAAAAAACAAAAATTACTTTTGAAAAAGCTAACGTTTAGTTTTTTTTTTTTTTTTTTTTTTTTTTTTTTTTTCTTTCTTTCTTTCAATAATAATAGATTTATCGAGGTAAATTAAAGAATAAAGGTTGCGATATCCATTAAAAAATTTTTTAATTACTATTATTACTATTATTACTATTACTATTATTATTATTATCATCATTATTATTATTATGAAATTATTATTATTGGAATGATTACACATAGGTTAAATATGATAAGTTCTCTGTCCGTTCATAGTTGACAAATTTTACATGATCAAATAAAGATTTATCTTTTGCATCTTTTACAGTATAAGCCCAAGCGATACAATAATGAGTAGCAAGAAGACGCCATTCCTCGAGTTCATCAAGAAATTCCAATTTTGATATTCTGCAAGTTATTAAAAGAAAAAGAAAATGTTTTAAATCAATCTTGTTTTTTAAAATCAAGATGAGAAAAAAAATATTCCAATCTATCAATTAATTATTATTCATCACCTGGAAAGTTCATTTGAATCAATATGACGATCATGAATTTCATTTATGTCAACAGCTTCGGCATGAGTCCATCCACGCCGTAGATAACGATCTTTTTGACTTTGTAAGTCAGGATAAGCGTATATACCACGAAGTTCAATATTAACAGCTCTTAAATTTTGTAACATGACAGACCCAAAAGGATCATTTGGTAAAATTTGTTCAAAGACTATAAACATTGCTACTTTCATATTATCTCCAACCCATTGTACGATTTTATTAGAATCAATTGGATCCATATAAATTAATACACATTCTGATAAAAATAATGTTGGAATACTTTTTTTTTATCATCATCATTTATAAAATGATTTTTTTTTTTGTTTTGGTTTTAGTTTTTAGTTAGTTCAATGTATTGAAGACGTGACTTTAAAGAATATCTTTCTTACTAACCTTCGATTAAAGCCGTGTTCTTCTAATCGCGGCACTAAATTATCCTCCCATTCTCTAAGATCTCCTGATATTAAACAATAATCTGGCGCGTAAATTTCCGTACCTCCTTTTCCTATAATCATACAAAATTCCAAATTTTACACCCATTTTTTTTAAAAAAAAATTGATTATTGATTCACATACCAATTTGCATTTTGGTCCCAATTAAATGTGATAGATCCTTATTTCTAAGAATTATTGCAACTTTTTTTGATGTAATTTCAGGAAAATCGATTTCAAAATATTTATGAAATTTACGTAATGTATTCTAATAAAAAGAATTTTATTTTTAAAAAATATATATATATATATATATCTTTAAATTTTTAATGATTTTTTTAATCAATGATACCTTAAAATGAAAATATCGCGTATCAGATCCTGCTCCAAGTGATACGATTTGTTTCTTTAACTTTTCACCACCAACTTCCAAAAATTTCGTGATCAATATATCTAAACCCGTATTACGAACATATGAACCTCTATTGATGATTGGAGGTCTCTTCGATGGTCTTTTAACAAAATATTTTACGAATATATCATTAATATATCCCGTATTAACTGCCGACCTTTTTCATCAAAGAAAAAAATTTCAATTTTTAATTTTTAATTTTTCGAGAGTATAAAATATAAATTTATGTATAACCCTTAAAAAGACTCGAGAAAACGTTTCAATGGAAAAAAAGAATACAATAGAATTCACCACAACCTTTTAAACAATTACTTACAGTTTACTTGTCACCGCGTCGTCGTTAGTTCCGCGTATAGCATTATCCTGACTCGAAGTATCTGTTGTAGAAGGTGTACGAAAAGCCATTGATAGAAAGACTATATAATTGATTGTTTTTAGATATTTATAGAAGGATTTTCCTAAAAATGTTCTGATTGGTTGATATCGATCTTTTAAAAATGATTCAATTTTTTTCTTAAAAGGAGAGGCGTCCTTATTTTAATTTACCATGCTTTCTTCAAAACTTAAACCAAATACTTTTATTCTTAATTTAATTAAATTGAATAAATCAGCTTTTAATAGAAATTTTTCATCGATTAGAGATACCAACCCTTCTCATGAATCTACTGAAACATTAACAAAAGAACCAAAATGGACAAATAATTCTATACGAATAGGTGCAATTGCTAGAAAAAAAGGAATGTCCGCATTATGGGATGAGTGGGGTGTAAGACATCCGGTGACAATCTTACAGGTATCAAAAATATATATAATTACTTATTGCATTTTCATTATTCATGGATTCACATTAATGTGTAAAATTTACTTAAAAAAAATAAAAGTTGGAACAAGTTCAAGTGGTACAAATTAAAGAAAATCAAAAAAGGATTAGACCACCTTTGGTTGCAGTCCAAGTTGGTTGTTCTGAAGGAAAGAACCGATTTAAAAAACCATTATTAGGTCATTTTGAGAATGCGGGAGTTAACCCAAAAGCGAAGTTGTTAGAATTTCATATCACTCCCGATGCTGTCGTACCCGTTGGAACAGAGATAAAGGCAGCTCATTTTGTACCAGGACAATACGTGGATGTAACAGCTCCATCGTAAGATATTACACACTTTATTTTTTTCATGATAATCAAAAAAAAAAAAAAAAAAAAAAAAAATCTTTTATTTTTTTTTACAGTATTGGTAAAGGTTTTGCGGGTGTAATGAAAAGATGGAATTTTAAAGGATTGCCAGCTTCACATGGTACTTCGTTGGCTCATCGTTCTGCTGGTTCAACTGGTCAAAATCAGGTTTGTTTAATATAAAGATTACCCTTTTTTTTTATCACCTTCCCCTATCTTATATTAAATTATTATTATTATAGGATCCAGGAAGAGTTTTTAAAGGCAAAAAGATGGCTGGTAGACTTGGAGGTCAAAGTGCGACAGTTTTAAATTTGAAAGTTCTAAAGATTGATAATTATTTGAATCTTATTTATATCAAAGGTTCTGTTCCTGGCTTTGATAATCAATTCGTAAGAATAAGAGATGCCATAAAGAAACATGGAAAAAAATGTTTTCCGTCGGATTGTATTCCACCACCTTTTCCTACTATAAATCCCGAAATTGTAAAGACCATGCCAAGAGAATTAATGGCTAAAACTGGTGGGGTTGACCCCTTCATACCCAAGGAAGTTTAAAGTTTGCCGATAAATAAATAAAATAAATAAATTTATATATGTACTGTATTATATTTGAATGATTATGCACTTTTATTGCAAATAAATTCAAATGTCCTATTTTTTTTTTTTTTTTGTATGTTTGCGAATGACTACATAAATTCTTAATTAAATTGTAAAAGCAAAAACATAATAGGAAAAAAGTATATATCTATTTATTATTCTATTTTTAAATACCAAATAAATCTTATGATGATGTTGGATTATCCTTGGATTCTGGACCTGGACTTGGCGGACGTGGACGTTCTATATTGTAATTATCATCGTTACTATTACTTAAAAGAAAAGTAAAGACAAGAAAGAATTGAATTGTACCTTTGTATTGTGGTTGACGTTCATAAGCATTTGGGCTGTTGCTTCGATTTTTATTGGAACGCTTATGGCGATGATGAAAGTGATGATGATGATTGCTATTTTCTCCACCCTCGTGTTTATGATCATGATCATGATCAGAATTGTCAGAATCACTACTACTGGATTCTTCGTCCGATGATTCATCAAACGCACGAGGTTTATGATAAATACAACAAACTTCAAGAATTTAGAAATATGTTATAATATGATTCGAAATTTTTATGAAAAGAAAAGTTATAAAAAAAAAATTTTACTTACTCTTCGATTTTTTCTTTCCCAAACCTTCGTTATCCACTACACCGTCATCCCATTTAACTTTTCTATTATCAGATGGTCTACCACGAAGCTTTAAAGTTCCGATAGGTTGTGATGATGTGTCATCTGCTTCTCCTGAAGGAACTGGTGCTTCACCAAGTTCTTCAGGATGAAGTGTCAAAGTTCTAGACCCATATGTTTCTGGACGACCTAATTAGAAAAAAAGTAGTTAATAACGTTTAATAAAATACCATTCCTTTTCTAATTCCAATAATACCTGTTGGTACCACGGTACGAGTATGATAACGTAAAGAATCTCCAGCTGCCATTAATATATCCTTTTGAGATTGAAAAATAAAAATATCCAAGAAAAGAAAAAAAAATTTTTAAATAATAATAATAATAATTAATAATCGAAGAAATTTTTGGATGGCCCGTGCCCATTTTTATTCGCCACGTTTATCAAAATGATCGACGGTATGCATAGATGACTCCAAAAAGAGTTCTTTGGTCCGAATTTGTACTACTGTGATCATAAAAATTTAATTATGTAATATTCGTCAGAAACTATCATTATTCTATGATATCAGAAAATTCTAGACATTTTTGCTCAACTAATGTCATGTGAAGACTTGTTATTGACGTATAAATGATGAAAAAATACAATCAATGAAGATATCTTTTTCAAAATTTTCAAAAATGATTATTCGAATTCAACCCCTAGAAAGGAATTTTCAGAGCGTAATCTTATCAGTAATTGAATGCCAAGTGGATTTTTATACAATATAATTAATTGCAAATTTAACTATATATTGTGAATTAAATGTCTGTTTAAATAACTTTGCATCAACACTATTTGGGTTATAAATAGTAGATAAATTTAATGTAAATAATAGAATTAGAAGGTATCATTAATGTTAAACAAAAGAATTGCCATATGTAAAATATAATTAATAGATATTATACTTGGAATATAAGATTTATGTAAATTGTGATAATCATTCACATTAAGAATTAAAAGTTGTTGTTTTTAAAATCAGAAGGATTATATATATATAGATCTAAGATTACACATATATCTGTTTATCTGCCTGCTCAATAATTGAATTGATATTAATTGGTCTTTGATAATTACACAAAAGTCTATATAAAAGCAAATACTAATAGATTGTTTCAGATTTAATAGCAGTTTTCGTTTCTTAGTATATATACTTTTAGTAAATTTTAATTTTCTTAATTTTTTCTTCATTTATCATTAAATAATAAAAATTCTGTTAATTTCTCATTTGTTGATACCATATTATGTATGAAAACATGTTATAATAGTTATATATAGTTATGTAAAAATGTAATTCATAATTATGATAATTAATTACTTATTTTTTTAAAAATATAATAATTATTATTAGATAGTAATTAATTACAAGAAATTATAAGATACATAGCAAATTTATTAGTAATATATATATTAAGTAAAATATATTACTCTACCTTAATTTGAAATATATGACTAAAATTTTTATTAATTTTATTTTAGATAATAATGACACACTTTAGCATGTAATTAATTATATAATTATAATCTATTTTATTAAATAATTTGGATTAGTTTAATTTTTTAACAATTCAAAAATTTTATGATATAAAAATTTTAAAACCTACAAAAAGTAAATATTAGTTAAAAAAAAATATACCATATGCTACTGCATACAGTATTCAGAGTCTTAATCAAAATGTGATTTTTTAAATTGAATAGTATTCACAGATACTAAATAAGAAACCAAGTATTATTTTAAGAAGGATACAATTTACGAGAGATACTGTATATAGAGGTTACAATTATACAATTTTAATAAATAAATATAAAAAAATAAATTAAGTTTACTTTTCTTCTTCAATTCAGCTTCGCAAATATTAAGAAAAACTTAATACTTTTTCTCACTTTATATAAAAATTACAAAAAATATTCAAGTCATAGAAAAAATTAATATTGAAAACATGATATTATATCAAGTATTAATCAATTTTCACAAAGTTTAGCTTTAAAAAGTATCTGGATATTATTTGTAATTAGGTCAATATAGATAATGAATAGTATTCAGGTATTAATCATGTGAAGTATTATTTTTAGAGAATAATGTATGCTGTAACATATAGTACATTTTTTTTCTATAAAATTAACTTTTAATTCTAAAGTTTTAAAAAATTTAAAATTTATAAAAAGATATATTATTTTTTTTTAAAAATAAATTTGATATATTTTTTTCTTTATTTATAAGAACTTATCTTAAAGTTTAAAGCTTAAAAGCTCTAGAACTTACAAAATATAAGCATTAATTATTTTTCTTATTTTTTTAAAATAAATCTTCATAAATCTCACATTCTTTTTCTCTTTATAGAACTTACCTAATTCTAAGATTTAAAGAATATCAGATTAGATTTACAAAGTAAATTAATATTAGTATTTTTAAATTAAAAATAAATTTTCTTAAATTTTTCTATTAAGTTTTACTTTATCTGAAGGTTTAAGAATTTAGGAATTTAACTTATAAAAAAAGAACATTAATAAATGTTTTTTATAGTAATAAAAACTTAACTTTTTCATTATATTAAAATATAAGAAGATAACAATTAAAATCAGATTCAGTATTAAAAAATTCTTAATAAAAATATATGATAAAAAACTGATTGTCTGAAACATAACGAAAGACTTACATATATACTCAAAATTATGCAATATTTATCTATCACATATGTGAATAGCCAATGATATTTTAGAATCAGATGTAATATTCATATAATATCAATGTCAATAAATTGAAACCAATCATATTTTAGAATCATGTGTAACTAAAAATATATAATTTATAATTATAAAATAAAGTTTAACTTGTGTTTTATGATAAGGCAAGACAAAATAATATTATTAGTTTTCATATCCAAAATTGGCTTTATGCAGCCCGGCTGCCCAGATTTTTATTTTTAGAAACAAAAAATTTTTTAATCAAAAAAGTTTTACACAGCATTTTTATAGTTTTACAACCTGATTACCTAGATAAAAATTTTATATGTTAAAAATTTTGTATTACGCATTTATAATATAATAAACTTTGAATTCTAATATTAATAATAATTTTTTGATGAAGATAAAATAAAATCCGTTTTAATAAATTTTATCATAATAAATGTGAAAAATTAAAGTATCAATAAAAAATGAAATTGTCAATTGAATTGGCTAATCAATAAGACATCTTTTATATAATCATTAATTACTAACTTAATCAAATTAATTGCTAATTCAGAAATTCAGATTTATGATAATATGGATCTTGCATTATAAATTTGAGATATTACCAGCGATTAAAGATTTTGTATGATTTATTAACTTCCTCTTTTGACTGCGTTCCAGAATTTAAAACTCGTAATGGATCTTTATTACGTAAATTTAATGAAATCATATACGTAAGCTAATAAAAATAGGAATAAAAAACACGTTAAGAAAACTTTTTTCCAGCTTCAACCTACCTTTTTTTAACCTTTGACAAATATGTCGCTTGCAAATATTTGTATCTCTAAAGGCTTACAAATTCTTCATGGGTAATATATCTATCCTATACCTTATAAAATAATAATCAAAGATTTTTTTGTAAAGCTCGTAACTAAAGAATTATCGTCCAAGTGCAATATTACTGTGACAAGTTTTGAAATAGTAGAACGTGTCAAGTTGAGTGAGATACCAGTTTCAGTTGTAACCCAAGTTAGTCTTAATTATGATATTATAAAACTTACAAAAAATGTAGAAATACATATATGTTATCAGCTTAAAATCAACAATAATGCAATTTCTGATATTGTATCGCAGCAAGATAGCTTTACAATTCTGATGCAAAATGCATATTGAACTCAGTTACATTTACTAGCTTTTTTACAATTAGACAGGACAAATCATAAACTAATATTATGAGTTAATCTTGTCAATTGAATTCATTGTCATAATGGAGAATGGTCTACCCAATCCTATGCTAATACATAAGAAAAACAATTTATTATTAGTTTGACAGAGACGATTTGATATGTTAACATGTGCAATCACCAGAAACTTGAAGAACATAGTATCACATACCTGAGATTTTCCTTGAGTTTTTTAGCTATGCAAATCCAGAATCATACAAACAATCTCAAAAAACCTTTGATGCAAATGAACTTAATTTGCATTGTCAAGCTCTTGCTCTATACGCTACATTGTCATGAATATTAATGGCAAATTTCAACTGACTCCATAAGGGGAGGGCCAGAAATGATGTCATTTAAATTTTTAAGATTTCCCTCCTCTCCCCCCTTCTGTCATAATTTCTATTTAAGGAAATCTAGTTATCACGTGATCAAAATTGTAAATTCTGTTTGCTGATCATA